AAATGGGAGGTTATGAAAACGGAGATAAAATAGGAGCGCAATAACTGAATGGTTTAGTAAAGAAGAAATAGAAGATAGATAAAAAAAAAAAAAAAAAAAAAAAGGCAGGAAAGGTCCTTGGATAAGGAAACAGGAAAAGTCAGAATGATAGATGGAAAAGTAGAAAGATAGACATAAGTAGATAAAGTCACAGAGAGGCAGAGACGGACAGAAAGTCTGGCAACCGACCGGAAAGATAAGAAACAGAGAAAATAGAAATCAAAACTAATAAGAATATGATAGAGAGGCAAGGAACGTAATAAATGCAAATCAGAGAATACAATTAAGAATAGAAGTGATGAAATTTGCAAAAAAAAAGATCGTCAATTGTAATTCATTTCGCAATGAGCTTTCGACCGAACGAAAATATCTAATTTCACCCGTAATAACTAAAATTGAAATTGCAATTTTGTCATTGTTAAAAAAAAACAGCAATAATACCTGTTAGATGTATTTATGTATGTAATATTGCGAATATGATAAATCAATAACCAAAAAGCATAAATACAATCAGCCATAACTGAATATAACGTAGAATAACGTTACTCATGTTCAGTTTAATAACAATGTTCACAATAAAAGCAGTAATAATCTTACGATAAAAGTCTTTAATCGCAAAGCTGACCTTGGCATGGGCGCAAGTGAAAGCAAAATAAGAAAAATCTACATGAAAATGAATATCCAAATATAAAAAAACACCTTTTAAATAACAATCACGGTTAGTTTTGATGATAATGCTGATCATACGCATGCAAATTGCGCTCTTAATCACCCCATATCATTAACATACGCGTGTTAATTAAATTAATGCCACGCTTAGTTTATTGAAAGGCGAAAGGGGAAACTGATAAAGTAATATTAGTGGTACTTGTTTTATTCAACAGCATTACAATTAAAATGGTATTATGAGAGCAGCAATTATGATAACAACTATGGTTGATTATAGTGATAATCACAATGATAACAGTAATGATGGTGATGGTAGTAAGAATTATAGTAATGATAATGACAATAGAAATGGTAGTAATGATGATAATGATAACCATAATCATAAGAATAAGAATAATAGTGAAGAATAATCAGGAAATGGACAATAAAAATAATGATGATGATAATAGCATCGAATACAACTACAATAACAACGATTACGATTTTTTAACAATCTACGATAACAATTGTGGTAGTTTGATAATAATGATAATGAAAATAACCATTAAAATACGTGAATAATATAACGATGATCATAATGAAAATAATAACAGTAGTGGTGATGATGATAAAATAACGATATATAAATAACAAAACTGATATTTTTAATCACTTCTCGTATTTTGTATAAACATGTCGATCTACAAACATGTGTTCAACGATACCTGCCTTAGTTCCATCCATGAATTTAAGTCATTTCACTTCGAGCAAAAATATAGTTATTATGTGACATGTTCCGCTCTAAGAGACACGTGTGAAGAGAATATAAATCGGAGATGAAGCTATATTCTTGCTATTAAAATCATCATACGTTTGTGCATAGACTTTTTTTCAGACTAATTCACAACACGGAAACTATCAATTACCGGTCTTTAAAAGTCTCCAGTTCTCCGTCTTCTTGTTCGGTCCGATATTGTCCCTAACAAGAAAATTGCTGCTCGGAAACCGTCTTACAATTATGTTTTCTTCTCTCTGGAAAGACATAGACAGGAACTCGACTCTCGGCAATTAAGGAGCATTTAATTACTTGTTATGCTTACTCTAATTGTCCTGTAATAGAATCCACCTCATTAAGCCAGATTACTGCTTTATTACCCACCCTTATCCTCTCTTATTAAAATGTCGCTACAAATAGATCACAACGGCACTCATGGTCTAAAGCGCGTAAACCAATCTCGCGCTTAGGGAGTATCACCATAAGGCTCAAATCAAACGGGATAATCCGGCGGGGGTTGATACAGTAATAAGTGAGCGCGCATCGTGTTTCGCTTTTGTTTGGTAAATGCGCGGAACCGGGCTAAGCGGATCAGCTCCCGCCGTGATTGGCCGGGATCTCCAAAACTCTTCGTCCTATGGGAGTGTTGTTTAGTTACTTTGCAATCTAACAGGCAAAGGGGATTTGGCAGGAATGTCAGACGATTTATTTTCCTGATTGTATTATTCGGGAGACTGGGATGATCGTAGGATTATATTTTATTTTTATTTTTTTTTTTCAGGGGGGGGGGCGGGTGGAAGTAAAAAAAAAAAAAATAGTATGATTTTAATTGCGTTTCGGAAGAGTATTTTATTTTTATTTTTTTTCCGAGCGAGCGAACAATAGACTGCATAGAGATTCGCTCTCGGCTTCATTTCGTTTAGCTCAAAAACCGAGCTGAAGAAAGGAGAGTTTTCCCGCTAACGAAAAAGCAAAGACAAGAACTATGTTTTCATATTCGCTGAAAACTTTACGATACCGTCATTGAGAATACTTGAT